GCAGTGTTTTCCAATCTTTTTTTTTTTTTTTTTTTTTTGATATGCCCCACCTAATCCTGTCTAAAATTCTTAAGCTCTCCCTAGCATATACATAATTTTTAATATTTAAAAATTGAAATGTTCATGAAAGAAACTTGAATGATACCTTTTAGGAAGAAATGACTACGAAATTTTCTGAGTAAACACAGTAAGTGGACTTTCAAAACATGGAGAACTGAAATTCAAGAACAAATTCATTTTACTGAAAGTTGTTTAATGTTATTTTAAGTATTAATAATTTTTATTATTTAAATTTAGCGAGTTCCTTGCGCTTGATACTTGCGGCAAAGAAATTTTATGTCAGGTTCCAATTTAGATAACTTGAGTCTCAAGTCTCCCGGTTTCATTTCATCCAACCGATTTCTTTTTTTTTTTTTTTTAACAGCAAATCATTTATGGCACTAAAGCTATGTTATTGCTCCTTTTATATTGAATAAAGTTTTAATTGACTCATCATTTTGCATTTCTGCGAGTTCTTTTTACTGCATATTTGAAATATCAGCCAAATCCACTAGCATTAGCTGCATTATCCAAGTTGGGAAATCAGTTTGGTTTAAGTTACAAAATCTTTTAAATCAGCAGATAAAATTTTCAGATGATCGATAATAACAAGTATAGCGGTATCAATAACAAGTATAGCAGTAGTCGCGCCACATTTTTTGGAGCCAATGAAACATTTCAAAATTTTTATAGTAAATAGTAAATGCCTGACATAATTCAACAAAGATAATGAAACCAAATATCTTCCTTTTGTATCGATATAATTTTTATTTGCTCCTTGAACAGGGTTCGTACACATTTCCGCACATGGAAATTAAGGACTTTTAAGGACCATTAATGAAAAAAATTAAGGACCTATGTGCATATGGGAACTGAATAAATTATATTGAAGATATTATCTATGCCTAAATTTCACTTTTGTAATACCATCCTAAAAATAAAATAGATCCATTATTACTAAACATGAATTAATTGACATAATTGTTAATAAGTTTGAGAATAAAAAAAAACTTTATGCAATTTATCAAGTAGCATTAAATATTTTACACTTATGATAGTTGGTCATATTTGAAGGAAGATAAGTGACATTTATGTTTTACTAACAATTAGCGTTATGTTGATTTTTTTATGTTTCATTTTGTCACATACTTAGTCAGTCTGGAGGTTTAGTAAATAAGCAGGTAGAATTTTATGTCAAACTGCATAGGTTAAAATAAGAAGATCATAATCAGCAAGCTGATGTGGCAGAATTTCTAGAATTTAGTGACACACCGAACAACAAAATTCAGAAATAGCAAAACTTTTAGAATTTAGAGCAAGCATTAGAAGCAGAATTTAGGATCCACAGAGATTACATCAGGTGAGAAAATGCTCAGTGGCAGCTATGTGTATGATGCATTAAGAAATATTAGATGAATCTTTTAAATTGTAAGTTTTCAATTCTTTATTAATAACAGAAAATTTCCTTTCTATAAATGCCTGCCTATGTGATAAGATTCAGAAGCATTTTTGATATTTTCCATGCTTGTGTCTAGTGAAAAGGTAGAGAAAATAAAGGGAAGATAAACATGTTAAGAAAAAGACTTCTAGTATCAGGAGGATTTAAAACATTCAAATATTATGTTTTCATTGTTCTGCTAAAAATGTTCTCCAAGAAATTAAGAAATTCATTGCAAACTTTCCTGTAAAATACGGTTTCCAATATGTGTTGATTACCTATGAAAGACAATTTTTCATTTTGTCACATATTTCTCGAATCTTCTAAAATCGTGGGTCTATAAATCTTGCCTTCAAATCCTTCTAAACTTCCCAAGCTGTAGTGTCTAAAATCCTTCAGAAATATTATCCCTACCAATTCTGTAACAACGAAAAGGCCAGAATTATTTTAGAAATAAAAATGGAGGGAAAAAGTGTAAAATTAATTTTATAGAGAAAACTCATGCATATTTTGAGAATTTTGAATATTCTGACTGAGACAATTACATGGGAAACACTCTTACTTTGAAAAATATTAAAAAGAAGACATTTTAAATTAATTACATAGCTAATTTTGCTTTTGCTAAGAGCTGTTTCATAAATTGTGCTTTATACCTTGTTTATTTTTCAGATTTAAAATATTGTATAAATTACCAAAATGAAACTTTATAATATGACAGCGAAAAATAAAAATGTTTTATTTTAATGTTATTTTCTAAATATAATTTCAATATATTACCATTATTTTAATAAAAATTATCAATGTTACGATGTTTTAAAAAAAAATCGTCTAAAAATTCTCATATTCTGGAATTAAAATGTTTCTACAGAAACTAATCTTAAAATCGCCAAAATGTTGAAAAGTTACCAAATTTAGAACCGCTTAATAAAAGAATTTACATCCCCAAAAGCGAAAAGTTGTTTAAGAGTTCTTTACTAGAAAAAATGAATTTCGAAATGCTTATGTTTCAGTTCTTGCTTAGAAACTCGAGTATCCCATCATTCATATTAGAAATAGAAACAAATTAGAACTCATGAACTCATTCAAAAGATAACCATATATACGGCAGTGAATCGCCAAAAATATTCCTCAAAATGCTAATTCACACTCAAAATGACAGTCGTAAAAACAGACAGAAATTTCAGATGATTAAAATTAAGGATCTTCTGCTGATTTTGGCCAAAATTAAGGACTTTTAAGAACCAAAAATCAATTCCAAAAAATCTAAGGACTTTTAAGGACTCTTAAGGACCGTACGAACCCTGTTGAAGTTGTTTAATTAAAATATTGAATTTTTCAAAGATATCGGTTAAATAACTCACAATTGCCTTGTTATCATCTGTTAACGGATTTTTCATTTCAGGTTTGTCGCTTAAAAAATAACTAAGAGTATCAAATAGTTTCATAACTCTTTCCAAGCAGTTCCTTTTCGACAGCCTTCTTACTTCAGTATGAAGTACAAGTCTCATATAACTTCATTTTCTTCTTCATAAAATAACTTGAAAATACGTTCACATTTGGCCCTAGCTTTAATAGCATTGATACACTATATAACTGAATTTACTACTTCATTTAGAACAGGCGAATTGTTTTTAGCTACCAGGTTTTTCTATAAATAACACAATGCACAAGAAGCATTTCTGGATTCTCATTTTTTATCATTTTTAAGCAACCCTTTCTCTTATTCCAAGCTTTATTTTATTTTTCAACCATCATATTAGGAGCACCATCTGCAGTACAAGATGTATTATTTTTATTGGTATATTTTTTACATCTATGTAATTTTTTAGCTTACTATTAATATCTTTAAAGGTAATGGTGCTTTCTAATGATTTACAGAAGGGCAAAATCCTCTTTATGAATATATCTTACATAAGTTACAAGTACAGCCTCACTGTCTCTTAAAGTTGGTTCATCCATCTGCACCGAAAATTTTCTTGTTTTCAGCTTTTCAACAAGTTGTGTTTCAATATCCTCACTCATTTCATCTTTCTTCTGCAAACAGTATTGTTATTTAGTGGCATAAGCTCTAACGTCTTTGCCATCGTTTTCTAGAACAGTTTTAAATGGCTGATATTTGATGGTTTGATTAAATTCTCCACTATAGTACAGCTTTTCCCAGATTAAGCGATGAGTAATGAAATTTGATAAATAGCCTCAAGAGCATGATTAACAGTTGCATTATGAGCAGTAATTAGAAACTTTAATATTACTATTTTTTTCCAAAATTTTCCTTAAAGTGTGAAAATAATTCAAATCTGAATTAACATCAGCATTATGTTTCGCCTTCAAATGTGCCTCAAGACGACCTAGTTTCATTGATTCGTTGGTCAGGCATTGTTGGCATAAAAGACAAAAGTTGGCCGTTTATAGACCGGGTATGAAACCAAATTTTAAATATGCGTCCGAATACCGACAAACTTTTTTTCTTGCTTGCACCCCTCATTTCACTAAGGGCTGAAATAAATAAATAATAAGATCAATATAAACAAAGCTGAAAGCAGCTGCTGTTGCCATTCAAGGAAAGAATAATATACCAGTTGCCATTCTTATAGTAAAAAATTTAATAAATTCATTGGCTGAAATGTGCAAGAAACATCTGGAAAGCATAATGTGTCAGTTATTTAAACGTCTTTTAAAATCATTTAAATGTCCATTTGTCTACAGTGAGAATTCTTTATAAAATATTTAAATTGCACCACAATTTTAAATTTTTTTTACGTATACATCACTTACATTTTTCTTTATTTTGGGGAATAAAAGATGAAATTTCGAAAAATTTTAACTTCATGAAGCATATTTAGAAATTTGAACTTCCTTTGTCCCTTTAAACTCTGGAAGAGTCCATTTTCGAATTGCCCCCCCCTTAACAGTCGCATTGCCCCCTTGTGGGGCGAGTGCCCCACGTTGGGAAACACTGATTTAAAGTGTCTCAGGAAGGAAAATTCCATCGCAAAAGATGTTTCTAAATGCCATACAAAACATTTGTTAATCCATCCCCTACTCAACAATGGTGGCATCAACCAATAGTCAGACAAAACAAAAATGGAAACATGGAGTGATAAGATTATACATAAGAATGCAGATAGTTGTCATAAAAATCAAACAAGTTTTCTTTTGACAGGTAACAATTGTGCTGTTAATAATTGCAATAGTACATGTTTGTAGTTCAGACAGAAAAAATTTATGTTATAATATACTGTATTTTTGCCGAGAAGTTTATTTTCATATACACATCAGAAAAAATTACTATTAAATTTATAATGCTTAATTTTCTGAAAAGTCAATATTTTGCTTGTTTACATTTAAAATTGAACACAAATTATGAACAGTAATAAATTATGAGAATTCTACAGTAAATCACATAGAATAATGCTCTATCATCATTTGAAATTTATAATATAATGTAAAAGCAATTTACAGTTATAATTATCCAGCTTTAATATATGAAATAATTTCATATTCTAGGCACTGATTAGTTTACCTGTTGCTTTGAATTTTTGTTTGGCTTTAGAGATATGTGTACTTCTTTCATTGATTTTTCAATAATGCTCACTGGATAAGGTCTTTTGGTGTCTGGATTAATACATTTATCAGCTACTATGGTAGCAACATCTTTAAACATGGATTCCAGTTGAACATGTCTTTCTTTTTCAGATATTTGCAACTCTCCTTTAGACAGAATCTAAGAAGGGGAAAGAAATTGTAAGTTGATAAAAGGAAACAGTAACAAAAAACAATTCAAACAATTTTCTAGATATTCTAAAGTAATTTTCAATTCAGCATTCCTTTAGCTTTTCAAGCATAAATTTGCATTTTATTAAGAGCTAAATAAAATCAAATTTAAAATGAAAACTGAATTTACTTTTTAAAATCAAATATAGTGAATTCTCTCTATGATGTCTACATGTGGTTTCAGATATTAGCCTTTTTAGTACAGGTGGTTGTTTCAGAGGGGAATGCTTAATGCCAAAGCTTATATATATGTTCTTAGAAATATTACTGATCTCCAGAGGGAATTGCCTTAAGAAAGAGGTAACCATGAGCAACTTTACTGTACTTGTTTTAAGTTATTATATATCAGAACAAAGTAAAAAATTATATACATCTTTTCAATGAAGAGTAATAGGAAAAGCTAAGTTTTGATATCAAATTAAAATCTTACACACACACAAATATACACTCTGTCACCAAATATATATATATATATATATATATGCACTCAGAAGAAATCAAGCCACAATCATGAAACTCAACACAGAAAGTAGTCTGCTAAGATATATGCAAATGATTTAAATTTCGATGCCAATGAGATTAGGGTAAGTGCACTATGCACATATGAGATACGCAGCTGGGAGATTTTATACATGATTGCTCACATGTCATAGGAATATTCAAACGAATCTGTCGACTCAGATAGATGGCATTGTGACTAATGCCGCCGAGACATAACCCACGGCATTACAAACAGTTGTCGGATTCTGAGAAGGGGCACAGTAGGCCTGAGTGAAGCAAGTTGGTCGAACAGGCGTATGGGTCGCCACCTCAACTGGAGCGATATGGCAGTTGCTCAGTGTTGCTGACAACGGATTACAGAAGCAATAGTCTATGATGGAGGATCAAGGCAACCCAGGAAGGCAAATGAGGATCATGCAATCATAAGAGCAGTAACTTCCGCCTCAACAATGTTGCTAATATCGATTCAACACCATTTACTACCTTCCAGGGATCTGGTGGCGTCAAGAGAAACCATTTGGAGATGACTGGCGATGTTTATTAAGATGCCTACGACTGACAAAACATCACAGGCAGTATCGACTGGATTTTTGACAAGCTCAGGCAAGATGTAATGTGACCAACTGGAGGCATACGATTCAGTGATGAATCTCAATTCAGTCTCTGTGCTGATGACCAATGCACACACGTGTGAAGGTGGCCAGGCCAATGGTCCGTTCCTGCATTTGCTGTCGAGCATTATATGGCGATTACACAAGCTGTGACAGTGTGAGGAGCAATTTGTCAGGAACCACGATCACTTCTAGTCATCCTTCAAGGCACTATGATGGCTTGTAGTTATGTGGACAACATTTTAACACCGACTGTACTGCCTATGCTATCATGTTGCCCATGTTCATCAGCAAGACAATGCTCATCTACATACTGTGCGACTCTCCCAATAATCTCTTCAAGGATACAACATACTACTGTGGCCTACCAGGTCACCAGACCTCTCACCAATAGAGCACATTTGGAACATGGTTGCAAGGTCACTGCAGCCGTCCTGGAATATTAGTTAATTAACTGCATGGATGCAAAGATTATGGCATAATCTTTTGCAGGAAGTCATAGGTAATCAACTCTATATAATGCCATGCCATGTTTTGGCTTGTATAGCTGTCATATGTGTGTAATGAAGCAAACTTATAAGTAATAATGATGCAGAAATATTGATAGGATAGATATGTAGAATGCTGATCCTTAATGAAGAGAAACTTGGCAGCCGAAGCACATTAAATATTCATTTTTATTTTAAAAAACATGTTGCAGCCACAATCAACTAGGCATACTACTTGTGCCTATTGTTTGGTTTGGTTTATTTAATTATGGCAAAGCACACTAGGGCTATCTGCCTAAGGGAAAGGATGCCTTCGTGGAGGACGTTCTAAGAGAACTGACTCGTATATACGTTACACATGGGGAAAACCATGAAAACGCCCATGCAGCCAGCCCGTTCGCAGGATTCGAACCTCAGACTGAACTACTAGTGTGCAGCGACTTTACCGCTCGGCTGCTTGTGGGCCCGGTGCCTATTGTTTATAATAATTTTTGATAGCTTTTGCAGGAAGATGAAAGCAGCAAGCAGAGCAAATTTTTATGGTTTTGAAATACTTGCTGGTATATTTGAAATCAATTCATGATTTAATGCAATGGAAAAGTAATCAACTGAAAATTATTAAACTATTATCTCCTCTCATTTCCAAAATATTCTTGTGATTACCAAGTGGCAAGTAAAACGTCAGCCTAAATTCTCTTTTTATGGCCAAGGGTTTAAAAAAAAAAGACTGCCCCAGAACTATAAAAGTAACAACAGTTTTTATGACTCTAAGAGTGGTTGACCAACAAATCTTATACATAATTAGATTTTTCTAGAAGTATAAGAATTGTTCTTATCTGTTTTTTATAGTTTCCATTTCAGGCAAACGAATACTTTACCCATAAGGTAAGACTTGTTGAATTTTATGTTACTGCCTTCCTAATCGATGAAATTTACATCAAATATAAAATCAGATATAAATTTTTTTAAAATATTTCTAACAAAAATACTTAAAATATTTTATCTATCAAAAACTTTTTAAATTGCTCTCTTTTGGGGGAAAGCAAAACAGCCCAAAATAGCTATTTTAAAAAAGAAAAAACATTTAATGATTTTAATGTGTCCAGCTAGTGTAATTTCACTGGTGGATCTAGTAACTAATAACAAAACAGATGAAAAACTATGTTTATTGCTTTTAAATCATTTTAGTTTGTTAATCAATAACAGTCAAATTAAATCTGAAAGAAAAATTAAGCATCTTATGCTTTGGTAATACACTGGTGCATGGAAGACAAAAGTATGACATAGTAATACATTTCTTTCAATAGTGCTTTTCTATCATTAGATTTGCTTGAAACATAAAATATATATATATTTTAATTTCAAAATCCGACCACATGTTTGAGTAAAAGAATGTTAATGTAAGGAACTATGTACTAACAGCTCTAGATGCCGCCATTTTTTACAATGCAAGAACATGCATAACACATGCGATGACTTGGAAAATGTTGAAGCCATTTAAATGCAAAAAAGAAGAGCTTGCAGATGTGGATAAAGATAAAATATATAAATCAAAATACTAACTTTAATTTACAATAGTCCCTTAATTCTGTTATTTAATTCAGAGATTTTTCTATCCATCCTTTATGTCAGGGTTTCTTAAACTCTTTTCAGTCATGACCCTTTTTTATCACTAAAATGTTTTTGCAACCCCCAGGACCCCATAATTATTTTTAAAAAATTTTGTGGACCCCATAAGTATTGCACAAATCAGATACTTACGTGAGTGAAACTGTCAATTGTTTCACTTGTACTGTAATATACTGTTGTAGTTTTAGGTCATTAACATTAATTTCTAATTTTAAGACATAGAACAATGTGAAAATTTTAAATAAGTAACAGACGAAATGACAGCGTCACATGCAAAGCACAGAAAATGAACGTTTATATCATAAAAAGAATGCATTGAAACGTTTCCCCCCCTTTTTTTTTCCTTCTTTGTCTGCATTATCTTACTTTTATCTATTTTCAGATACATTGTGTAAAACTCTTTGGTTATTCTAAAATTATTATAACAAGTTAAAGAAATATCAAAACTGCTAAAATTTTTGCCGAAACCCCTGCTGCAGGTTCCGCGAGCCCCTTGGGGATCAGTTTAAGAAACCCTGCTTTATGTAATGCTGGTAACACAGATAATTCACAACTGAAACATACAAATGTAAACTTCAACCCACATTCTTTTGAACTGAGCTTCGATCTTGGAACCCAACACACTGGCTTTCTGCTTTTCTGCAAGTTAAACACTATGCTGCAATTTTTCTTCTTATCACAATGATATCAAATATGTAAACATTCTACAACAGGTGAACTGACCAGGGCTGTAGAGTCTATAGGAAAAATGACCGATTCCGACTTCCTCATATATATGTAAACATATACGCATAGGTTACAGCTTATTTTTTTAATATAAAAGAAGTAATAGATGCTAAAAATAATATAATACAGAAAAATAATTGATCGCATAGCAAATTATTTATATTAATTAGCTTAGTATTTATTATGAAATGTAAAAACTGGCATTATTAATGTTTAAGAAACAATATAGCTTCAGCAAGATCTTCTTTGTTAGAAAACCATAGATTCAATTTGATAAACTTCAGAACATAGAAGAGTCTTTCCACCTTAACTTGAGTGGGAGGAACAACTTCTAAAAGAGGCGTCTTGCCAGAGCAAGCATATTTATCCATTTCTTCAAAGGCCGTGTAGAAATCTTGTTTGTATTTTTTCATTTTTATACCTAAAGGCTCTTGGTTCTTTATTTTCATCCGCTTTCCCTTAGCCTTTTCAATATTATCCAAATACTTCTGAAAATCTAATTCTTCACTGGAAGAGGATGATAGAGACTCGGTTGCAATGTCTGCAGTTGGCTAGAAATTGCCAAAAGCTGCCAAACTTGGCAACAGTCTTTTGGTCCCATCCCTGTATAATTGTAATGGGTATTGTAATTGAATAACTGTAATTGATCCTATACGTAACTATGACCGTATTCAATCCTCATATACCTTCAAATTATTTAAAGAAGTGAAAGCTATTAGATTTCTTGGCAGGCAGGCAAAAACTATGTAAGACCAGCAACAGCATGAGTTTCTCAGTGGTTGCATCAGCATTGAATACAGAGTATTGAGATACCTCCACGTAAGCTGCATCTTTTAGATGCACTCTGCATTATGCTGTATTTAACATTCTTTTTGGTTTGATGTGTAACTACCGATTCTATGATACTAAGAGGAGTGTATGTGTATTTTTGTGGAACGTTCAAGAACTAGGAAGTGTTTCCTTTGGCTAAATAAATTTTATCAAGCTATCATCAGTTCTGCATGCATTTCATCCATTACAAACCCTCAGTGCATTCCATCCATTATAAACCTCTATGCATACTACAATATTGTATTTGTATGGACAAACTATGACACTTTTTGCCATTAACTCAATTTTAAATGCATCACGAAAAAAGATTCAGGATATGAAGAACCTACTGATGTCTCCTCTTGAACTCATGCTCTACTTTCAAAGCAATCAAATTTGTTCAGAAGAAATTGTTATAGTACTGTGAGAAACTGATACTTCATATATCTGGTAATTCAATGAGCAATCAATGACACAACCATTCAATGAAGCAATTCAACTAGTGATAACTGACATGCTGGTAAAGGCATTCCAAGATACTGTGTGCATTAGGGTGTGTTGTCTGTATACAAATAATGACCACTTTCAGCAGATCTTAACGATTATGTCATATTTCTTACAAAAGCCCTCTTCATATTTCATTGCAAAATCTTTGTTAGTGTCAAAATTATGAAACAAATGATGAGTTCAATAGCAAATGAAATACCCTATAATTTCAAACATTATAAACAAAAAATATGCATCTGATGTTTAAATTTATTTCTTAACCATCACTCATGTGCAACAATTTGTTAAAAAAAAAGCACCTGAAGACAAAAAATTTTTAGATAAATATAAACATCCCATTCTCTCCCCCCCCCAAAAAAATGCAAAAAATCCATTAAAAAACTATATCTTACCTCTTCACATATTTCAGTCTGATTATCTTTGCCAAAACATTTTATAAGATCTTCTTTTTTTGCTACCTGTCCTTTTGAAACATTTGTGAAGACTACGTGTGTTTGAAGAACTTCATCAATATCCTTCTCTCTGTAAAAATAAATAAGTAAATAAAATAACACGTTAAAAATTATAGCATTTGATGGGAGGAGTTTCCATTTACATTAACTGTAAATGGAAACTCCTTTTGACAGTGATCCTTATACCAGATATTCTGCGTCTGATTTTATTTAAGGAATGTACATATCTTGACAGGCCCACCAGCGGTCGAGCGGTAAAGTCGCTGAACACTGGTAGTTCGGTCCGAGGTTCGAATCCCGCAAATGGGCTGGCTGCATGGGCGTTTTCGTGGTTTTCCCCATGTGTAATGTGTATACGAGCCAGTTCCCCTTAGAAAGTCCTCCACGAAGGCATCCCTCCCCTCAGGCAGATAGCCCTAGTGTGCTTTGCCATAATTAAATACACCAACACACACCAACATATCTTGACAACATTCTTTTCTCACGATATTTGATTGTGATAATAAACTATTCAATGCTTTAAATATATTACACAAAGATGTGGTAGAAAAGATACAAATGTAGTAGAAAAGTACAGAGACTAACAATAGAAAACTCTATACTGAAAATGACACTGTGGCAACAAAAAGTATGTGTATAATCTTGATTGTCCACAAGAATAACTGCAGCAGAAGAGCAGACTATAAACAAAACACTTTGTACTAACAATGATGCAAGAGAAACTGTATATAAACCTGACTACAATAGTACAATAGTGTTAAAACTCTATTGTACTACTGTAGCAATAAAAACTATATATAAACCAGAACAGCTACAGAGCAACTGTAAATTCCTTCAGGTTATTCAGAATGTTCCCATAGGTACAGCAACCAAATCATAGCTTTAGTTTACTGCCAGATATGAAAAAATATTTCTAAAAATTCACAAAATTGTAACTATTAAACTCAGAAATTTTTTCAATCAGAAATGTTCACAAAATTTAATAAGAGCTAAATTAAAATAATGAATTTAACATTGTTTAAAAAAAAATTCGGTACTTTTCTGTTTTGCTGCCACAGGCTTATCGCCTGCTCTATACATACAATAATGTCGCCAATAATGGTGCAACTGATGCCAAACGGAATATCCTCGATGGTAACCTTTAAGCCTAATATTTTCAAATCAAGTCGCAGCCATCTGTTATCAGATTGATTGTTTCTTTCAAGACAGGCATACAATTATATAGAATTTTTACCAGATAGTTCAGTTTTATGCCCTAAGGCCATTCGCGGTAATTAAGTCAATTAGGATGCAATCACACAGCTTACACGAAGCCAAAAATATAGAAACGGCAAAGTCAAGGGTTAAATTCATCAGTTCTAATGAAAATGCACTTGCAAAGTAAAGCACTGCAGTTTTACATAATTTCTGAGTAAACTATCCCTACTTTCTGAAAGCATTCAAACATCACCTCTTTAAAGTACAGTACAAAGTCGAAAATCCGAACGTCCATTATCTAGAGTGATTTAAATTCCGGATTTGATCCGAAATCGCCCGACGTCCCGACGAGTCCAGATTTCGGACTTTGTATTGTAGTAACTTCCATAAAGAGACCAAAGCCATCTAAAACCATGGGCAATCAGTTTAGAGCAAGTATGGTATACAAGAAATATCAACATTTTTATAACTAAAAATGTATGACTGAAATCTAAGGGAAGGCCTCTACTTTAATCCACAGACAGCTTGGCACAGATACAAATTTTGTAAATGAATTAGTAATACTAGCTAATTTACCTCCATAATGCTGATGATATCATGGTAGAGTCCTAAAACACTGATTAGGTAACTTTCTCTTTGTAGTTGATCTAAAGCTACTCTCTTATTACTACTAGCCTTGTTGGATCCTATATAATATTTCTTTAGACAAGTAAATGATCCCAGAATAAGACTTGTTATTTTTTTTTACATTCTGCCATTACATTAAACTCATTTTAACTTAAATATTACATTGATATGGAAACTGTTTATCCTTTGTATCTCAAAATACTGCTTTACAGTCAGCATGAGTTAAAGCATATTTTTTGTGCTCATTCATAGCTTATGTAATCTTCAAGCCAATGAAAACGATATTCCATACATAAAATTTATTTTAAGTCAACTAACCAGTGATTTGTATGTTTATATCCATGTCTATTTGTCAAAAACCTGCAAGTAATATTGATCTGCATAAAAAATGCTTTTCCCCTTAGGTTCTTTAAAAACTACACGCAGCTTTCATGTACAGCCTCATATTTAAAAAAAATATTAGCATCACTAGTGTCCTCTTAGAACTATGCATGTACTGCCTGCCTAAAAACTTAAAAGTTTGAAAAAAGAGACAGACTATATATTTAAAAGTCTGAAAAAGGAGAAAACTGGAATTAATGTCACCAATATTCACCTTTTTTCGTTAAAGACAAATTTCAAATTCAATCCTTCTTAACACTTTTAGAATTTTTTTATCTTAATTTTTTACATTTTACTACTATCTTCCTCGATACAAGGCACTTCATTTGCGTTCACTTTGCTCCATTCACTGCTTTTGAAATAAATACAGTTGTCACTAATTCTCTTTTACAGAGAAAAACCATCAGGTCTGACTGTATAGGTTGTAGTAGCTCCTGTTATTTTTCAACTTTTAGTGTGTGATTTTTTTCATCCTGTTCTTGGCTTACGATTCTTTTGTTATCATACATCTCTTTAGAGAGTCAATGAACTTCAATGTTTCCGATTATTCAGATATGGACTTGTTAATTAAATGTGATGCTTGTAAGTATTTTGTAGAGAGTTCTAAACATGAAAACGGATCCAATGTGTCTGCCAAGAAATGAAAAAATTAGAAATCAAATGCAGTGAAATCAATAATTGACTCAGTTCTTGCTGAAATAAATGGTCCTGTCTCAGTTGCTGCTGAAAGAAAAGAATTTTTTAGATTAGCTATAACCGTACTCAGCAAAGCACATATATGAGACAATTATCATTTCAGCCTGACAGCAGACCTGCTAAGCCTCATATAATATAAGAAACTGCACTGGTATAAATTTATCAAGTTACTGATGACCACATGAATGCAGTATAGTAGTGTCAGAACTCTAAACGAAGCCTGGTTTACCTCATCCAAAATAGCTTAATGCCAGTGAAACAAGTTTTACTGCTCCTGAGGTCCATTAGAATAACAAATTTGGTAATCTGAGTCAGGAAGAACTAGATGATGGCAATCTGCCAACCGACTTGCCACAGAAAGAAAGCATTAAGGCATAGCTGGTACTTTGTCCAAGATTTGAAGTGACAAGGAAACATGTACAAGAACATTTTTGCAGCTTGAAATTAAGGAGTAAGGGTTATATAGTTCAATGGAAAGTATCAAAATTGTTTTCAAGATCCTAAGTGGTCGACTCAAAGCCATAAATTTGTCTTCTAGGCAATAATATTCAATTTAACACATTTCAGCCTAGAAAGGATATGCCCATCAAATTGTTATGACAGATCTTAACTCGGATTTCATGCAGCATAAAATATAATATGAAATTTATAAGAAAGAAATCCCAATACAAAATGTCAACAGTTTGTATACATGGAAAATGAGAGAATTGTCAAATCACATGCCACATCATCACCAAAGACTGATGAGAGTAATAAAATTTTTTATCTGAAGTTTTAACTTGATACCAGGGTTCGAACTGTACCTTTCAGGACCCGGAAGTATCTTACTGGAGAAGTTAAACAACAAGAATCAGCATACTGATTGTAATTTTTGCAGGACTCGTTTCAATGGTTTAAATACAGAACCATCTCCTTCAGACTGCCTAAATGCAAATGAAGGAGATAGAATATGGTGATAAGAATGGCTGAAAAGAACTCAAGCAATTGGTGCCATCTATTGATGAAACAAGAAAACTAAAAGATAATTTCCTTAAAGGATGAGGGTAAAGATGAATTGAGTTACGATCATTAACTAGAACAGAAAGATTTTTTTTTTTTTTTTAATGTGAAATGCCTCTAGAAAATCTAATTCACAATGGAAGATGTTTTTTGAATAATTTTGGCTTCAGAAAAATGGAATGTGTGATTTTCTGACCATCAGTGCTAAGCAACAAACAAAGGATTTCCGAGTTTCGTTTTTCCTAACATATGCCTTACATTCTTTGATGAAAAATTTTAAGGCTCTCTTAGTTAAATCAATGTAAATTAAACCAAACTGGCAAGGAATCCTGTAAATGCCCCAGGAATTTATATCCAGAATGGGGTCTTTGTAAAAATATATTTACGGGTGCCCCTTGGCGAAAATTGACAGTACACGTACACCAAGTTTTTGCAATTCTTTGACTTGTTATTTCGGCTTTGTGTAGCACCGACTTTTGTACCAAAAATCACTGCTGGACAAAGACAAAATAATGAAATCTGGAACTCCGAGTCTGAAAATCGTCAATGACAGAATGAAGTGTTTACAGTATTTACTTATTTCTCATTTCTAGGTATAAGATTTGCACTCCTAACATAATTTCAAGCTTCTACTACTTTGATCCTGAATTGTAATTCCATAGAATGGTCCATGAATTTAAATTGAGAGATGCTAGGATAAAGTGACCACATTTTCATTGAGACAAAGCGGGACAAATGGAATGAAATGAGAATTATAATTTAGTTATGAAAGCAGACCAATAATTCAAAAAAAAAAAGTATTTTATTATACACATTCATATACTTGTCTATAAATATACAAAAAAATATTTATTATTACTATTGGAACTATAAAAATATATGTAAAAAACAATAATTTGAATATTATGTTCTTAATTAATTAATATTTTATTTTAAAAAAATTATTTTCTTTCACAACCATATTTTTTATACGAGTGAATACTTTGCAACAGATTTAAATCATTTAATAAAATGTCGTGAAATTTCTCACATGAATTGGTCAAATTATATTTTAGGCTTAGTACAGATTTTAAAGTTTTTATGTTCAACTGCATTTTTTTCAGTTGTCCATATTTTAATGATACTAGGAAAAACACTTTCTGTTGCTGCATTTGTTCCTGGAAGGGAGAGTGTGTGATTTTCATAAGGAATATTATTCTGTTTAAAATGAAGGAATAACTCTGCCCCTCTTTTTTGTCTGCTTCCACATTTAATTTTTTTCATCAGTAATAACATCTTTTTAACAATGACACCTCATCAAAAATATCATTTTAGCAAATACAGGCAGAAGTCTTTAATCCAGACTCGTCGGGACCTCGGCGATTCCGGATTATCGATTTTCCCGGATTATAGATCATCAATTTAAATCTGGTAAGATGGCATGCAGAAATTATTAAATTAAAAATATGAAACCGTAATTTATGAAATAAAGAGCAATTATGATCTAAAGGGTATCAAAATTTACAAAAAGAAAGCTTAATATTTATTTGTTTACTATATTAAACATTTCTTTCAAGGCGTGCATGCATAAAGCATATATTACGCATAATTGAAACTAGAAAATTGCAACCAGAAAACTATTTGATTTGTATTCGTAATATTTATAATGACGAGGAATATGATTTACATCATATCAAAGACGGAGTACATCGAGATGAAATACTACATTTAGTAAGGAATTATGAGCCGAATAAAATAAAAACATCTGCCCTGAAGATAAGGATAGTGCTGACTCCATTTTTTGCAGCAATTCTACTTTTTGTTTGATGGACATCGAAACATGCTTTTGCTTTGTAGATCTTTTGGCAGCTCCAGAACCGGAAATTCTTTTTGACATAATCGAAAGCTCAAGCTTACTTTTGCTCTAACAGTAACTCAGAGCAATTTTAAAGCTTGCTTTTTAAAATTGCTCTAACAGTCTGCAAAAAATAATAAGCCGGATCCAATTCGAAGATTAAGGAACAACGCAATCTGCAACATTAACTGAAATAGATAATTAGATCATTTTAGCTTAGCTTATACTGTCCATTATACATTAAACACGCATACGTAAAGGTATTATGTGCATGTGTAAAGGTATTATGCGTATGAGTATACGCATTATGCGTATACGCATGCGCAGAAAGTTCGTAGCTTTGAGGTCCGAATTATAGATCATTCCGGATTAAAGACTTTTGACTGTATTATTTTTTGGAAAATATTTACTAATATATTAAAATATTTTTCCACATAATCCCATAAAATCTCTTTTTTTAAAGTCACCCAATGAAAGTTTTTAATATTCTCGAATTGAACTGTTTATTCTTCAAGATATTCGAATCAGTTATTATAAAAATTTCTGACTTCTTTCAGAAAATCAGGTCGTTTAATGGCACCTTGCTCTTCCAACCTAGTAATGTCCTTTCGAATAACTAAAGGAACATAATCATTAAATTCTTTCTCGCAATTTGGTTTTTATATTATTGATTTCATTTAACATTTCCGTAACTGAAATTTTGTCCCCTTCAATAATTTTCACAGCATTGTGAAATAATGTAGCTTGGTTGTGGATGAGCTGAAGCCAAAGAGTTGTGATGTGTCATTTTCGAAAAAGGGGTAGAGTAGACTTTAAGGTACCCCTGGTATTATGGCGAAGTTGTTCTTTGATTTATTGCCAAGTTGTTTCATTTATGGTAGCCCGAGTAGTTGAATGTTATGGAAACCCTATTGTGACGTAATTGGGTGCACGATTCTAGGAAATTTTGAATCATGGGATGTTTTGTAAGCGTTTTTGTGGTGTGTGATGGTTTTATTCTTTAGACAGTAGAATCAGGGTTCGTACACATTTCCTTACATGAAAATTAAGGACTTTTAAGGACCATCAAAGAAAAAATTAAGGACCTATAGCAAACAAAAAAATAAAGAATAAGCAATTATCCATACAACCTTCATGCTGTATTTCACT